CCCCTCTCCCCCAGCAGCTTCCTCGAGGCCGAACAGGTAGATCCTCCCTGATCGCTAAGCTACCACAGGGGAAGTAGACGTCGTCCGCCGCCGCCTCCGCCGCCCGCGTGCCTCCGCCCCGCTCAGCAAAAAATCAGCATTATATCAGGAGGTGCCAAAGCCGCAGCATCTCCATGAGGTGAGCGTCGTGCGTTTTGCCGCCGCGTGCCGCCGCTGCGCCGACTGGCTCCCGGTTCGAATCGCCCTTCGCGGAGCGAACGCGGCGAACGAGCGCACGTCGCGCGCGTGTGCGCCTGCGACAAGACGAGACGAGAAGAGAAGGAGAAGTAGACGGTTGTTGTTTTTGCTGCCGCGGCCGCGCCGCGAGCTCGCGTCTGTTTAACGATTCAACAAAGGGTGTGCGATCGCTCCCGCGTGCACTGCTCAGGCTCGTCGCCGGGGACGGCGGGGTTAGACCCGCCTCCCAACGACGCGGTTCGGACCGCCGCGTCTCCCTCATGTGTGTGTGTGTGTGTGTGCGTGCGTGTGTGTTTCTTTTTTTCATTTTGAGAACCAATGATTTCACAATGAGAGCCGATGGAGTTTGACGCTGGAATGTGGAGAGAGATTCGGCGATTCTGCTACCACGCCGCATGCGCGCTCTGACGACGCATTTCCTCCCCCCTCCCTCCCTCGCCAGCAACGGCACGCCAGCGAGACTCAGAGCCGGTGACAGCAGCGACGCACAACAACTGCAGAACGAGTTCTTTCCCACGCTACACGTCCTTGGCGCCGCCAAGGCCGGCAGTACGTCACTGCACGAATCGCTTTACCAGAATGGTGCATGTGGCTGCCTCGACGATGATGTGGACATTTGTCACAACGGGAAGGAGCTCAGTATTTGGTACAGCGAGGCCCCTAGTGTCGCCCTGAGGAATCTTACGGCCGAAGGATACTCCAGCCTTTTTGGGCCGCGGGCCGCAGGGGTCGCCTGCCGGGCCTACGCGGATGGCACTCCAACACGCCTGCATACGTGGTATTCCGCGAATGAGCTGGGCCACCTGGCCGCTGCCGCGAAAGCCACCCAAAAGCTTCGTCTGATTGCCTTGCTCCGGGAGCCCGTTGCCCGCCACCTCAGCTGGTACAACCATCGCCTCACGACTCCGAGTCTCTCCAAATGGTCCTTCTGGACATCGCGTCAGGCCTCATGCCAGCCATGGTTTGGCGCGCTTCCTGGTGGCCATGCTCCGCCGCACCTCGCGCTGGTTCGGTGTGAGTATGAGCACTGGCAGTCGAAAGGCTGCCAGCGCAGCGTCGGCAATGCAACAGCCGAATGCTGGATCCGATCACAGCAAGCTTCATCTAGTCCGAGCTGGATTGCGGGGGGCATCTACCTTCCGCAGCTCCTGTTGTGGCAGCGCAGGTTCCCGCGCGGGCAACTCCTCGTCCTTCAGTTCGAGCAGACGATACGAGAGGGCGTGGCGCGGATTCTCCGGGTCAGTCTGGAGGTCATTCATTCTCCACAATCTCCTGCGACACTCTGTGCTCGCGAGTATCGATCGTCTGTGTGAGCTTTCCTATCAAGCCTCTCATGCTTCGTTGTCCATCGTCCGCTGCTGTACAACTCTGGCCGTCTCTTCCTTCGCAAGGGCCCCGCCCCCCAGAGCTGGGGGCGGGGCCCGCGCACAGGGGACCTCTAGTGGGATTTACGATTCGCGACAGGATCTGTCCAAACATGAGTAAAAGTCGTCCGCGAACGCCAAGCGCCTCTTGGTCCCTTCTGATGCCCTAGGCCACACCTGGGCCTTTACCCGGGGTCCTAGGGGCCGGGCAGGGTTTGCCCCCCGAAACACGAAGAACTGGCCAAGAACTGGCCCAGCGCGTCTGAACGTGTGGAGCCAGTCGTGCCGCCCGCGGCTCCTGAATTTTTTGAGCAATGTCCACCCAGGAGGACGCCGTCCTCCAGGAGCTTATCCAGCGCGCCTTGGCCTACCCGGACGGCGGCATCTCCGCCGAGGCCGAGGCGGAAGCGGCTGCAGAGGCGGCCGAGCTGGCGGCCGAGGCGGAGGCGGAGGCGGTGCTCTCAGACTCGCGCCGCTGGCCGGCGGGCCTGAGGAGGCTGCTCGACGGCCCTCCTCCGGCAGGCGGTGATGCGGCCTACCCGTCTCACGCACCCGACTCGGCCACCGGCCTGCTCTGCGGCGTCGCGCCCATGCTGCTGCACCGCTCGGCCGGCGCAGAGGTCTGGCAGCGCGGCGATTTGTACGATGAGCACGTCGAGCGGCCCGCCCGGATAGTGGCCGTCTACGACGCGCTGCTGCGCGAGGGCCTCGTCGGCCGCGCCAAGCTCATTCCCGCGCGGCCAGCGGCGCGCTCGGACCTCGAGCTCGTCCACTCGCGCTCTCATTCGAGGAGGGCGGTGCGGCGGTACGAGGGGGAGGAGGAGGCGCACGAGGCGCTGGGGCTGCAGCTGGGCGCCGACACCTACTTCGCGGCGGGCGAGTCGGGCCGCGCGGCGCTGCTGAGCTGCGGCTCCGTCGTCGAGCTCGCGACTCGCCGTCTCGTTCAGGAAGTGTCTAGGAAGTGTCTAGGAAGTGTCTAGGCTCGGTCGTCGAGCTCGCGACTCGCGTGGTGACGGGAGAGCTGTCCAACGCGCTGGCGGTGGTGCGGCCGCCGGGCCACCACTGCGAGGCACGGCAGGCGATGGGCTTCTGCCTCCTCAACAACATCGCCGTGGCGGCGGCGGTCGCGCGCGCGCGGCTCGGCGTGCAGCGCGTGCTGGTCGTTGACTGGGACGTCCACCACGGCAGTGCACTAGACACTTCCTAGACACCTCCTAGACACCTCCTAGACACTTCCTATTGACTGGGACGTCCACCACGGCAGTGCACTAGACACTTCCTAGACACCTCCTAGACACCTCCTAGACACCTCCTATTGACTGGGACGTCCACCACGGCAGTGCACTAGACACTTCCTAGACACCTCCTAGACACCTCCTAGACACCTCCTATTGACTGGGACGTCCACCACGGCAGTGCACTAGACACTTCCTAGACACCTCCTAGACACCTCCTAGACACCTCCTATTGACTGGGACGTCCACCACGGCAGTGTGTGGCGGCAGCGGGCGGCAGCGGCGAGTGGCTCCTCGCAGCTGGGTCGGAGGTGTGGCTGTAGGCAACGGCATCCAGCACATCTTTGAAGAGGACGGCTCGGTGCTGTACGCCTCGCTGCACCGGTACGGACACGGCTTTTACCCAGGCACCGGCGGCGCGCACGCCGTCGGCGAGGGCGCCGGCAGGGGCTTCAGCCTCAACATCCCGTGGAGCTCGGCCGGGTACGGCGACGCGGAGTACGCGGCCGCCTTCGAGCGGTTGCTGATGCCGGTGGCGCGCGAGTTCGCGCCGGATCTCGTCCTCGTCGCCGCCGGCTTCGACGCGGCGGCGCGCGACCCGCTCGGCGGCATGGAGGCGTCTGAAACCCCCCCCGCGCCTCTCGGCTGCCTCTCGTTCGTTGCGAGAGGTTGTGCGGCTTTGCCGAGCACCGCACTGCACTGCTCCCCCGCACTGCTCCCCCGCAGGTCTCCCCCGCCGGCTACGCGTACATGACGGCGCAGCTGCGCTCCCTCGCCGCCGGCCGGCTGGTGGTCGCTCTCGAGGGGGGGTCCGCCGGCCCATCCCCTGCCGCCTCCTCCACCCCTCCCTCCACCCCTCCACCCCTCCACCCCTCCACCCCTCCACCCCTCCACCCCTCCACCCCTCCACCCCTCCACCCCTCCCCCCCTCCCTCCCTTCCACCCCTCCCTCCCTTCCACCCCACCCCCTTCCCTCCCTCCCTCCCTCCCTCCCTCCCTCCCTTCCACCCCACCCCCTTCCCTCCCTCCCTCCCTCCCTCCCTCCCTCCCTCCCTCCCTCCCTCCCTCCCTCCGGGCCCGTGCAACCGGTCACCACCGACGCAGGTACAACCTGCGCTCCATCTCCTCCTCCGCGGCGGCGGTGATGCGCGTGCTGCTCGGCGACGACCCTCCGCCGCTGCCTCCGGCGCCGCCGTGCCGCTCGGCGGCTCGAGACATCCTCGAGGCGAGCCACGCGATGGCGCCCTTCTGGCGGAGCGTCGCGGCGGCTCTTGGCGGGCCGCAGGCGCAGCCGCGCTCCGCTGTCGCGCGGCCGCGGCTCTCGAGGGCCGCCTTGCGCGAGCTCTACGGGACACGCGCTTACCCTCGCCGCCGCCGTCGCTCGCGCTGGCCGTTCAAGTGGAGGGCGACGACGCCCTCTGCGTGGCGGGGGGCGGCACGTCGGCGGCCCGCCTGGCACCGCTTCATGTACGGCGATGAATGAGGGGAGAGTTTGCGCCATCGGTGCCCTCGCGCGTGTGGGGGGGCGCCAGCTTGCGGCCTCTCAGACTCCAAACGCCCGCCTGCATCCTGGCACACGACACTCTCGAGGGCACGCACGACGCAGCGCGGGGCGCCTGGCGGCGCCCATTTTTTGAAATGTCTGCCACTCACCTAAGCGGCTCTCAGAAACACTCACGTGCGCGCTGCGCAAGTGGCAAGAGATTTTATTATAATAAAAAGTTAACCTATAACCAGCCGTATTTTCCCTTTTTGCGGCGAGTGAAAATCGCAAGAGATTATGTTGAGCAATCCATATCTGAACATCTCAGATCACTCGAGAGATCACTGTTCACTCGCCTCTCGCGCGAGAACCGAGATCCTCGAGGGGGCGAAGATATCACGAGATCAAGCACACACACGGGTAAATCACGGCTACGTCGCTCAGAGGTAGAGGTAAAGGGCCCACGGCTGCCCAGAGGTAAAGGTGAGGGGGGGCGCAGGCCCTCAGAGGTAGAGGTAAAACCTAGACCGCTCCTACCCGGCCCTCCGGGCCGACCGACCGACACTCGACGCATGAGACACATGTCACATCCCAGTGCAGCGAAGGGAGGAAGGGCAGAGAGATGAGCCGGCTCTTACTCTCTTTCAGATGGCTTTCCTCTTATTCTTTCCCTGTTTTGGGGTGGACGATCGCCAAAAATCATCTCCTCCTAGTTGACTAATAGAAGTTAATGAAGCCGGCTATTCGTGCTATTCGCCAAAACTCGTATGGGAGGTCTGTCGCCGACGGCAACGTCCCGCATCCTCCCCCACCACTGCAGCCAGGGTCTGAGTCCGCATGTCTCCTCTCAACTCGACTGAAGAAGGCACGGAGCTGGGCAAAAAGGAGACGGACGCTCAGCTGGGCAAGGGGAAATACGATGCGGGCTGGCGCGTCAGCAAACCAGACGGCCCTTCCGAGGGCCCAACGTATCGCTCAGCAGGCGTCGCACCAGGCACTGCAGACGACCAGAGCGCTGCGGCCGGCGCGTCAGCGAGGGCCAGTGGGGGCGCGCTGAAGGTGGGCGGCCCGGGCAGCATCGGCCCGGCGTGGACGCGCGGAGAGATTGAAAAGCCGGCGGGCGTGCGCGACATGGGCGCGTGGACGGCGCTTTATTACACGGATGAGCAGCAGCAGCGGCTCGGCATCGACGAGAAGGGCAACAAGCTTGCGCGGAACCGAGACAAGTTCTTCGCTCCTGAGGCACCCAGCGGCGCTGCCAGCAGCGGGCGCTTCCCCGCCGCGTGGGGCGAGCCGCCGACGGTCGAGACGAGGGACTATCGCGTGCTGCCCGGAGGATACGGAATGGGCTCGTCGACGCTGGCGAAGTGGATCCAGAGCAAGCTCGAGGGGGATGGAGCGGTTGATGGCAGCGCGAGTCGAGGGTCCGCAGAAGTAGGTGTTGACGGGAAGCTGCCGAGCTTCGACGTGAAATTGCCAGACGGCCACGTGAAACTCAAGGATGGCAGCATTCAGATGCCAGACGGGAGCATCAAACTCCCTTCCGGCTCTATCAAGATGCCCGATGGAAGCTTTCGGCTCCCGTCAGGCAGCATCAAGATGCCCGACGGCACCATCAAACTGCCCGATGGCAGCATCAAGATGCCCAACGGGAAGCTCCAGCTGCCGGACGGGACCATCACGATGCCAGCCGTTGACGTCAAGATGCCAGGCGCAAGCCTCAAGGGGCCATCGGGGAGCGTGGCTCTGCCCAAGGGTGAGATTGGACTACCGAGCGGCAACATTGCCACGCCCAAGCTGGACGTGGAGGTGAAGGCTCCTACGTATCGCAGTGCTGGAGTCGATCTGGGCGCGCTGAAGGCGGACGCAGAGTTCAAGGCGCCGGGCGTCGACGTGAAGATGCCAAAGGTGGGCGCGAAACTGCCGAAGGTCGACCTGAAAATGCCCAAAGGCAGCATTAAACTGCCCGACGGGAGCATCAAGCTGCCCGACGGGAAGCTCCAGCTCCCCGATGGCACCATCACGATGCCGGACGTCAAGATGCCGGACGCGAGCCTCGAGATAGGCTCACGCGGCGTGGCTGTCCCAGGCACGCCCCCCGAGGTCCACGTCGGCGAGATGGCCAGGCTGAGCGCTGCTTGGGAGGGCGGCAACAAACAAGTTGATGTGCCAAAGGTGGCTGCCGCCTTGGCTTCTCCCAAGGTGGGGGAGAAGAAGGGGTTCCTGCACGCCAACCTCGGGCTGTTTGGCGAACGGTCGTCCAGCCTCCGGCGAGGCACACGAAAAAGGAGTTCCGCTCACCCGCGGCAATAGAGGACACAATGAAAGAAAGCAAAAGAAACGTCTAGGCATGCAAGCTACGCAATCAACTCTCCCGCGGCTACACATCATCGATGGCATCGTCGAGCGGTGCGGCCAAGCGCCTCCTCTTTCATCGACGTTTTCAGTCCGCTCCAGCCTTCAGCAGCAGTGCCTTTATCTCCGTGTGGCCTTTCTGGGTGGCAGCATGCAGCGGCGTGTCTGAGGCGAGCATGCCGAGGCCACGCGTGAAGGGAGTGTTCGGGTTGGCGCCCGCCTTCAGCAGCTCCGCCACCACCTCTGTGTGGCCTTGGGCGGCGGCAGCATGCAGCGGCGTGGCCGAGGCGAGCATGCCGAGGCCCCACGTGAAGGGAGTGTTCGGGTTGGCGCCCGCCTTCAGCAGCGCCGCCACCACCTCTGCGTGGCCTTTAAGGGCGGCAGCAAACAGCGGCGTCGCCAAGGCGAGCATACCAAAGCCACTCCGCTCGCCCACGTCGATGTCGCTGCGCACATGCTGGTACTGGAGAAGCTCGACGACTCGAGGGAGCTCACCGGCTTGGGCAGCGGTGTAGAGAGGACTTGTGTTTTGCAATGCTTCGACGCCCGCAACAACGTAGCAGAGAATCAACAGGGCAAACAGCGCGACTGCCATATGTGCTAGCTGCGCCGGGGACGTACGAGTTCCTTGGCCTTGCACGTGGCACGGCGCGAGACACACACAGCCTTCAAGTGTACATTAATGTACTGCTGTGAGCGAGAGTTTCTCTTGTTTAAATTCTTTTTCTTGCTGTGCCTAGTGTTGTGAGACAGGCGCGCCAGTCCGTTTGGATTATTAGCGGGCATCGATGTCATGAACCCAAAGGTAAATCATTGATGCTTGCTGTGCGGCCGCCGTAGCAGGTAACAAATTAGACGCGTGACGTTTTTTTCATTGCAACGCGCATCCCGCGGCTTTTTTCTTTTTCTAGTGCGCGCCAGTCCCGAGAGAGATTCAATACCAAACAACTCTAACCAGTCCCGTGCCCAGTGTCGTGCGAGGGAGTTTTGTTGTAAAATTATTTTTCTCGCGATGTCCACCCCGCCGCGCCGCACTGAAAATCTGGTCCGCAGTCTGGTGCAACATAGCTCGTCAAGGTCAACCTTCCACACAACACTCGACACACAACTGGACACACACGTGACACGCGACATCCGACCGCGTGGCGTACGGCCGGTGTGGTTTGAGCGTTGAGGCTGGGGCAAGGGAACCCTACCCCTCCCCATGCTCAACGATGGCTAAAGTTGTCTCGAAGTACCTTCGTTCGCGGATACCTCAACGCGTTAAGGCGCGAGACACACATATTGTCGAGATATACGTCGGGGAGAAGTTTCAGATATACGCGATAGACTTTAGCGGTATTTTCATGATTTCTCGCTGGCGGTCCGTGTATCCCACTCGCCCCTCCGCGTTTGAATCGTGCTTGGGTCCGTGAAATTCTTTTCAGAGCTGTGTTAGTGCCAGTGCGCGCCAGTCCCGGCCCAGTGTTGTGCGAGGGAGAGTTTTGTAAAATTCTTTTCAGACCTCCACGTGTGCGTGTGCAGGCCAAGGAACTCGTACGTCCCCCGGCGCACCTCCCCCTTTCGACATATGGCAGTCGCGCTGTTTGCCCTGTTGATTCTCTGCTACGTTGTTGCGGGCGTCGAAGCATTGCAAAACACAAGTCCTCTCTACACCGCTGCCGAAGCCGATGAGCTCCCTCGAGTCGTCGAGCTTCTCCAATACCAGCATGTGCGCAGCGACATCGACGTGGGCGAGCGGAGTGGCCTTGGCTTTGGCATGGCGGCTTCCAAGCAGGCGCGGAGAATCGCGGCGTCGGTGACTTCGGTCGTGAATGGCCTCGAGATGTCGGTCGTCGAAAATGTGCTGTCGCTCATCTACCCACCGCCGCCTCCACCAAGGCCACTCTTGCCAGAATGGGTGCTCTCGTTGGCACTCTCGACAGCTGCTACGTTAGCAGTGGCGGCCGTGATCATGTGGTGGCTTGGTGGGCTCAGGTCAGCAGACAGAGATCTGGACGGCGCGGAATCACAGGCGGGCCACGTGGCAGAGCTGGAGGCCAAGCTTGCCCTTCTCGACGCAAAGCTGTCCACTCTCGAAAAGGATTGGAACGATGCTCTCGAAGCAGCCAAGGATGCGGCAGCACGGGCGACGGCGGCGGCACAGGACGCACAGATGGCGGCGCAAGGCGCCGCTGCAGCAACGGCTCGGGAGAGCCGCCTCAAGGCTGAGCGTCGCGCCAAGTCGGCAGCCGATGGCGGCAACGAGGGAGGCAACCAGACAGTCACTGTGTCGGCGGCATCGGCGGCGGCGGCGGCGGCGGCGGCAGGGGAGACAAAGCCAGCGCCGCCGCCGATAGTGGCGAGCGAGACGCCGGCATGGCTTCGCGAGGCTCAGGAGTCGCTTCCTAAGCCGCTCCTCCGGCGCTTTGTGACGGCGGACGAGTTTACGGGCGAACTTCAGACTATTTCGCCACCTCCCTCGCCGCCCGCGTCGTCTGAGTCGCCACGGTGCCATCGTCGCTCTTCTGCCGACGCCACGGCGACAGGCGCTGTGACGGCTCCCTGGGCGCAGCGGTGGCAGAGGCACCTCCTCGCGACGTCCACAGGACAACGCACCTTATCGCCACCGAGCTCGGAGGAGGAGGGTGCTATGCAGCCCGCGTGCCCGCAAATGGACGCGGCGGTGGACGTGGTGGATGCCGTCGCGGCGTCGGCGGCATCGAGGCATCTAGTGGGAGAGGCTCGGAGGCAAGCCGGATAGCTGGCCTGCGCTGCGCAATTTTTCCTCAACGAAAAACGGACAAACAGCGCTCATCAATTATCTCCCCGCCCCACCCCCCCAGGAGCGGCCGCACATTGCTCGGTACCCCCCTGCACATCTAAAGTCATCCCTGCTGCTAGGGGGGGGGTCTGACCCCCCCAACAGCAGAGCGCTGCTGCTGGGGGGGGGGGGTCCCGACCCCCCCAGCAGCAGAGGGCATTGGACCCAGCTCTCCCAGCTCCCGCCTCTTCGCCGCCGCGGCCCCCTCCCACCTCGTACGCTCGAGGCGGCTGTGTTCACCGCGCCTTCGAGCCCAATAGCAATACACCTTCGTCGTGTCGAGTGCTGGCGTTTTACTAAAGACTTGTGACCATGTGAGTCTATCTTGTACTACCACACTAAAAGCCGTGTAGTGATCCACTCACTCGGGCGTCTCGGCTGACGATGATCGATCAGCGTTGATCTCTCTAGCCTATCGGTCCCCCGCTCGATCCTCGGATCGCTCGCTCGTCGAAATCGATCGACTGAGCTTAACCCTTTTGCTTCATAAGGGTCCTGAGGACCAAATCTCGATATATCTCCAGTCGTAGCGGTGGAACTTTAAAACGGCTCGGTAAATATTTAGCCATATATGAGAGGATTACGGCACAGTGTCGTTTGAGTCGACAGTAACTCTCCCACAGCCCACGTAACTCCGTCTTTTTCAGGCACCCGGAGCCCGCCGCGGCCGCTTCTACGCCGGCGAAGCACCATCAAGCTGCTGTACGGCCCCGGCATCGCCTCCCCTGGCTTAGCTCTCAGTCAAGATATTGTGCACATGGGTGGCCTCTACAATATACTCACTGACACTGAACCTCCCAGAGCTCGTCCCGGTCCGTCACGGCCATCCTCGTCCTCCGGCGGGCCCCCGGCCGCGGCGCGGTGCGGCGGCGTCACAAATCCGACCACAGAGCACCGGGACGCGGTCGGGCGATCTGAGGCCCAGGTAGGCGAATGCATTGCCCATCCAGGGCTATCACCTGGACCTATCAACAGGCGCCTGCGGCGCCGTGCTCAGGAGTTGGTTTTCACTCGCTCGAAATGTGTACGTAAAAGGGTTAACGACTTTTCTTTTTTCGAAACGCGCGCGCGGCCCCGTCGCGCGGCAAAACTGTCAGGTCCGCCGCGACGCGTCGCCGCAATGGCGGGCAGCGACGTGGTGGAAGCCATGCGGCTCGCCCTCAAGCCATTTAATATCCAGCACCTCGCCGCCGACTGGAACGCTAACCGTAGAGCCGTACTTACTTACAGCTGTCGGTACAGAGATGCCAGCACCCCCTAGCAGCAGAGCGCTGCTGCTGGGGGGGGGGGGTCCGACCCCCCCGGGGGGTACCGAGCAGTGTGCGGCCGCTCCAGAGGCGCCTGTGTAGTGTGTTCACAGTAGGGTGATAAGAAACAAGAACCTCGCGCGACGCCGCTGTTTGCTGCCGCCGCAAAAGGCCACACAGAGGTGGTGGCGGCGCTGCTGAAGGCGGGCGCCAACCCGAACACTCTCTTCACGTGGGGCCTCGGCATGCTCGCCTCGGCCATGCCGCTGCTACCTGCCGCCACGGAAGGCCACACAGAGGTGGTGGCGGAACTGCTAAAGGCGGGTGCCAACCCGAACACTCCCAACACGCTTGGCCTCGGCATGCTCGCCTCGCAACCGCCGCTGCATGCTGCCGCCTTTAAAGGCCACACAGAGGTGGTGTTGGAGCTGCTGAAGGCGGGCGCCAACCCGAGCACTCCCTCCACGCTTGGCTTCGGTATGCACACCTCGCAAACGCCGCTGCATGCTGCCACCCAGAAAGGCCACACGGAGATAAAGGCACTGCTGCTGAAGGCTGGAGCGGACTGAAAACGTCGATGAAAAGCGCTTGGCCGCACCGCTCGACGATGCCATCCCTTCGATGTTGTGTATAGCCGCGGGAGAGCTGATTGCGTAGCTTGCATGCATGCCTAGACGTTTGTTTTGCTTTCTTTCATTGTGTCCTCTATTTTGCCGGTGAGCGGAACTCCTTTTTTGTGCCTCGCCGTCCTCGCAGCCTCGCAGGAGTTCAGGGAGTCCGCTGGGGTTGTCTAACGTACGAGTGACTTTTTGGGGGGTCACAGTATGAACCCGCCCCGTCGGGTCCAAAACTCGGGCATGGTGGGCGCTAAGGGATGTATGTATGTAAATAGTGAGACGCCGACGTCTCACAGTGAGACGATGGAGAAGGGGGACCACGACACTGCTTCAGCAGCGTGCACCTCGATCCTGTACCGTGTTTGTTATGACCCCCCCCCAATGAACACACCAGCGAGGGAGGGCGAGACGATCGAGGGGTCCCGTACCACCATGCGGAATCGACCCTATCCAGTGCTCAAGTGCTCAAGTGAGACGCTTCGACGTTTTTGGTCGTGGAGGTCGTGGAGGTCTCGTGGAGTTGCGAGTCACGCTCGGGCGGACAACATCGATGGCCGGCGCCGGACGCGGCGGCGAGGCACACCCGGGCGCCGGCGTGGCGCGTCGGCAGGCCCACCACCAGCGGATGCGCAACGAGCGCGCTCGGGAAGCGGCCGCGGGCGATGCGGAGCTTCCGCCGGAGGACAACGCGGTCGAGATGGCGAGCGCCGTCCACGTGCTGGACAGCGTGGGGCGGAGTGGTGCGCCTGCTGCTGCGCTGCAGAAGCTTCAGGGCGTGCTACTCGAAGCTCTCAGCGAAGCGAGCGTGGCGGCGCTTCGTCGCAAGGTGGCCGAGCCGAGCGGATTCGCCAGGCTCGAGCTGGGGGACACGGGCTACGAGACGCTGCCGGCGCTAGTGGCGGCGTGCCGAGCGGATGGCTGGTGCTCGACAAGGCGGCCTTGGACCGGCCTCTGTTCCCAGGCGTCGACGAGGCGACGGGGCTCTTCTTGTTCACCGAGAGCTTCGACGTGCAGCGACTCTGCCGGCGCCTGATCGAGACAGGGCGCCAGCTGGGCATGGCCCGGCACAAGGTGGGCGCGTGGGGCCTGCGCAAAGACGCGTGCGAGCAGCCGGCGTTGGCGGGTGACGGCGCCGTCGCTGCGCGAGTGCTGGGCCACCGCCAGGTAAATTCCCGGGCGTTGGATCGGGTGTATCGCGCAGACCTGCGCACGCGCGATCTCGGTTCATACTGGATGCGGCGCGACGCGCTCGGGAGCGTGGAGCGCGCGCCGCTGACGTCGCTCTCGGCGTCGCGTGTGCCGGAGGTGGGTGGCGTGCGCGGCTTCGGCGACCTGCCGCAGGCGTGCCCGGAGCGGCAGGCGGCGCGCAGCGACGCGAAGGTGGCCGAGGCGGCGGAGGAGGTGGCGAGTGCACGACGCGGCGGAGGAGCAGGCGGCGGCTCGGCGTCGCGCAGCTGCCGAGGTGTTTCAAGGCGAGCGCGCGCGTGCGGCCGGCGATTCTCTTAAACGTTCTTAAAAGAGGGACCCCCGTGCCTGCAATCTCTTGAGTGGCAATTTAAGCCCCCAAACCTCCACTCATTTCTGAACAGGTCTTTAAAAATCCGGCCCCCGGGGCTCAGAGAACCGCCTAGGAGTTGCTGCTATGCGGGCTCTTCCCGGAAGATCGGCGAGCTCACGCCCTTCAGCGTCTGGTTCCGGCAGGGCGAGGGGGGGTCGTCGGCGGGCTGACCGGGCATCGTGAATAGGGTGCGCTTCCGATACTCGTCGATGATGTCCTTCGCCTGCTTTAGCCACTGGTCGCGCTTGAGCACCTCGCCCTGGCGTATCAAGAAGGAAGGGAGGATGTGGAAGCGCGCGCGCGTGCGTGTGTCGTGTCTGTGTGTGGTGTCGTGTGGCGCCTGCAGGTGCTCCGCTAGCCGCTGGTGCTCCGCCCGCTCCAACTCCCACTCGGCGGACTTGATCTGCAGCGAGTCGAGGGTGCGGTCGAGCTTCGCCTTGTCCTTTTGCCGCTCCGCCGTCGCGCGTGCGAGCTTCGACTTGGCCTGCGTCTCCCGCGCCTCGCCCTGGCAAGTGTAAGTGTGGGGGGGGGGGTCAAGAAGGACGAGCGCGTGTGTGGTGTCTGTGCGTGGCGTCGTGTGGCGCCTGCAGGTGTTGCAGCGCCTCCCGCGCCTCCCGCGCCTCGTTGAGCCGCTGTGCGATGAGCCACGACTTGGTCACCGCCGGTGCGTCGAGCACCCGGAACTTGTACGAGCGAAATGCCGCCTGCACCCGCGTCGCCGACCTCTCCTGTAGCAGCCGCGCCCGCTCGAGAACGGCGGCGCGTGCCTCCTCCTCGCCGGCCTGCGTCTTCTGCTGTCTGAAGAGCAAGACGAGTGGGACAATCATCGTGGCGACGAGCACGACGAGTGCGAGGACGGCAGTGAGGTTGTCGCCGCCCATCTCGGGGCAGGAGCGTGTGAGCGCCGTTTCGATATGGACGTGCGAGTTTGAGCTTCCTTGCGCGTTGCGCCTCGACCTACCTCTATTGTTGATCACGTGCCTTTTGTTTTGTTTCTTTACCGACGCCCGGCAGAACCGGCTCGGATTGCGCGCAACCCTCGGGCATGGTGTCTGCTCCAGCCTCCACGACTCTTGTCATGTCTTGTGAGTTGTGTCCGGTCGATAACGCCGATTAGGCTCTCTACCTCTCACGGTGCTAGTACGAAGTAGAGCGCTCTAGCTGCGGCGGCGCGGGCGGGCGCTGCGGCTCTGGGCTGTGTCATCACTGCACACTTTACCACGGTGCACTTTACCACACTGTGCACCAGCCACTGACATTAGCTCACTCTACGAGGTATGCCACGTTGAAGAAAACAGCCTGAACCGACTCACACATGCGCCAGTGCCGTGTCACGAGTCTTTTGGAGCCTCCGCCGTTGCGTCTGCCGCCGCCTCGTAAGCCGCCGCGTCGACGTCCGCGGTGTGTGTCTGGGCACTCCCACCGCCGACGAGTCGCTCGAACTCCGCGTCGAGCTCCTGGGAAGGGGTGGGACGCGCTGTGTGCCTGCTGGGCCAAGGAGCGGGGCGAAAGCGGTGCTGGCTCGCCTCCAGGTCGAACCCAAACTCCTCGCTCGCTGCGGCGTCTGCTCCCGGGCTGCCTTGGCCGGACTGCGCGCTGCGACCGCTGCAGCCCACCTCGTCGCGGACGCGCGGGCGAGCCGCCGGAGGCGTTGCCGCCCCAGCCGATGCCCCGCCCGCCTGCGAGACCCCGAGGTAGTCGCGCTTGGCGGCGTTGGCGCTCGCAAAGTCGTTGCACAGGTCGAGCTTGGCGGTGGCCACGTGCCAAAAGTACACCTGCAGGGACCGCATGGACGCGTCCAAAAGTAGTTCAGCCGCTCCGCACACAACAGAACTAAGCCCCTTCGCACCTGCCAGAAGTCCTCCTCGCTCAGCCTGCGCGGAACCAGTCGAAAGCGAAGCTGTGCGAGCTGCGGGTCCGCCTCGAGCGCGGCGGTCGCCATGGGCAGGCAGCCAGGGAGCACCGAGCGGTGGCGGGTGGCGGCGCGGTGCTGCTCGGCCGCAGCGGTCGTGAAGAGCGACTGCTGCGCGGACAGCGCGAGGATGCGCGCCTTGAGCTCCTCCTCGAGGATGGCAAACTGCTCGGACAGGGTCTGCCACGGCGGCACGCTGCCGTCATACAGCTCTGCTTGTGCCTGCTCGGCGCGCTGGCGTGCAGCCTCGAGCGCCGCGCCGCCGCTCGACGAGCTGAAGCGCTCGATGGCCCGCTCCGCGGCGCCGAACAGGCGCTCGAAGGACATACACCCGAATGCCCGCCAGTTTTCTTCCTCGGGAGAAAAAAGAAAAAGGTGCTCGGCTTGTTGAGTGTCCCTGCCGACCCCTGGCCCTGGGACAACTCTCCGGCCTCGCCCCCGACGAGCGATGCCTCGTCCGTACCAGCAGCAGCTCGATGAGGCGGCGCCGGTGTTGAAGCGGCGCTCAAGCGAGTCGGCGCGACTGGCCAAGTTCGTGAGGACCACTTCGGAGCCGGGAGCCATCGGCGACAGGCCTTCACCCCTTCCACCCAGCCCGCCGCCGCCGCCGCCGCCGCTCAGCCCGCCGCCGCCCTCGCCACTGCAACAGGCCTAGGACACGACAAGCGATCGAGCCGGCCGTCTCTGGCCTCATCGCTGTGCTGCGCGTTCTGCTTCCGCTCTACTGGAAGATGTACGCTTTTGGGTACAGCGTGCTCTCAAAGCTGCCGACCAATGCAATGCGGATGGTCTTTGGGGCTGCACTGTGCCTCTTCGGCGGCCACTTCTTCGCCTCGGTCGCGGCGATCGAGGCGTTCCGCATCTTCGGTTGGGAGCAGCTGCGCCATCACGTTGGCATCGTCGTGGCAGAGGCCCAGTCGGTAGCGGACGCGAGCCGGAAGGACAACGACGTGGACGCCGACGAGAACGGCGTAGCCGACGTGGACGAGATGACGTCGCGCGAGCTGCTCAGACACAAGACGGCCCTCGCCATGTCCACCGTCCAGGACCCGCAGAGGCTGCAGGCGGCCGCAGGCTTCCTGTGGGTGCGGCGTAGTGGCCTTGTAGTCGTGGGAGGATAGTCGTGGGAAGATAGCCGTGGGAAGATAGCCGTGGGAGGCATCAAGCTCTCCTGTCGCAGAGCTCTCTCCTCCTCCTCAGGCCGCGTACGTGTCTGTGCTCGCGACGCTGCGCCTCGAGTTCGCGAGGACTATCTCGCTGGCGCTCGCATGCGCCGAGATGTTCGAATTCCCAATCACGCGGTGCTCCTTCTCTGCTACTCTCTCTCTCTCTCTCTCTCTCTCTCTCTCTCTCTCTCTCTCTCTCTCTCTCTCTCTTTTTCTTTTTTTCCTCTCCCTCCCTCCCTCCCTCCCTCCCTCCCTCCCTCCCTCCCTCCCTCCCTCCCTCCCTCCCTCCCTCCCCCCCCCCTTTTTCCTTTTTTTTTTTCTCCCCCCCCCCCCCCCTCCCCTCTACCCTCTCTCCCTCTCTCTGCGCAGCGCAGAGCAGCGGCGCCTCCATTCACACCTCGCGTTGCGAGCAGCTGCTTCCTCCCCGGGCTGGTCGCCCTCCTCGGCCCGGACCTTCAGCACTGGGGCACGACGATCATCCAGTCTGCCCTCGCGCTGGTCACCACGCTCGTCGCCATCTGGCTGCAGACGGTCCGCGCCGCCACGCGGGGGGAGAGGAGCGCCGCGCCCGAGTCGGCCTGAGCAGTCTCCCGCGCGGCGCGCAGGCGATCAGCGCCTTCTACGCGGCTGTGCGGGGAGGCCGGATGTTCGCTGAGGGGCTCTTCGCCCTCATGGAAGAGCACGGCCTCTTCACGGACGCAAAGGGACTGCCGAAGCTGCCCTGCTTCAAGGAGGGGTGGTCCCCCGAGGACTCGACCCTCGATGAGGCCGCCAGCGCGCCCGTCTATGCGGAATGGCCGGCGCGCACCTCGAGCCGCCCCTCCTCGTGCCGCAGGTGGTCGGCTTCACGCTCGCCGGCTGCGGCTTTCTCTACCAAGTGACTACTGGATTCGAGCTCCCGTTCCCTCTGAATCTCGTCTTCTTGCCGCTTACGGCGGTCGAGTGGCTCTTGCGGTGGCGCTCCCTCGATCCCTCTCCTTCCCGCCCCTCCCCTCTCTGCATCCGACCCCAACCTCCCTGCCGCTGACGGCGAGCGCAGTAGTCTGACGGCTAGCGGCTCCCGTGCAGGTGGCAAATCTACGTTACTGACGAGGGGTTGCTCCTTTGAGTCGAGTCTCTCGTCGGCTCGGTCGCGTCGTGTCGAGATAGACTTGGCATACGCACCGTTCGTGGGAAGGGCATCACCTTGGCAGGACACTAGCTTGTGCGCGCGAATGGCCGGAGTGGTGCATAGAGCTGCCCAGCCGCGCCCGACAGATCTCTAGCGGACTAGCGCACCACCAGCAGCAGACCAGTGACCACCACCCGCCCAGCCTTGTGCGCAATGATGCAACCACTACCAGCCCCCCCAGTGCTACTACGTCAGTACTAACTACGTCATGATTGAAGACTCACATATACACTCTCTTGTACTATCGTTTTAAACTGAACACTTCCCTGGACGGTCGGACGCGGCCTGTGGCTGTGCGTGTGGCTGTGCGCTGCCACGGGACGCCACGTGCGGGACGCGCAGGTCCAGGACCAGGTTGTTGTGGGCTTGTCCGTTGTCGTGGGTGGGCACTGACCCGTAAGACCTGCTCCACGGTTGCGGGACGAGCCTGCCTCTCGAGTGCGTGCAGTGTCGTCGCAGATGCGCCAACCATGGTCATCCAAGGTCCTTTAAGTCGACTGTTGATGCTGCCCTGCGCGTCTCGCTTGGCGGAATCCAGCGACCGATGAGCATCAACCACGCGGTCGGTCACAAGGGCACGCAGCGCCTCATCATCCTCAAACCAAGTCTCGCTATTAAAGGGGTGCGGCTGATTCCCTTCAGTGCCATTTGTCGCTTGCGATGTAGCCGCCGGTTCCCCTTTTTGTTCCCTTCGATGCCTCTCCCTCTGCAAGCCTGGCCGTGGTTCGCGTTCAGGGCACGCTTCCAGCCCTAGCTTGGCCGCAGTGCGCAGGCTGCGATTGGAGGCGAGGCCAAAGTCGGGCAACGGCTGCCCGCTAGACATGCACAGCGCTGACCTCAGGCGCGGAATCGGACCACTCCAGACTACCTCCTCCCTCACCACTCTCTGCTGCGAAGCGCTGTTGCATCGGCTGGCCCGAAAGCGGCTGCGATCCGTCTCCCGCTTAAGGCCAGCGCTGTATGACTTGTATCGTCGCCCGCCCAGTGGCCGGTTCGGGAGCCGTGCGAACGCGGATAGAGGCTCGAGCGGGTCGCCGCTGGAGGGGACTTGCAGAGCCATTCCGATCGTTACGACACCGAAAATTCTTTTCTAGTCGGTGTGCCGGTGATAGTACTAGCACGCGCCAGTTCGCACCTGTGTCGAGCCTGTCTGCTGTGAGAGAGAGTTCTTTTGTTTAAATTCTTTTCTAGTGTGAAAGGGGAGGGCTGCACCGCTGAGCCTGCCAGGGCCTTGTTACGCGGGGCCAGACGGCCAGTCGAGGCGCCACCGCCACCGACAGCCAGCCGACCCGCGCCCAGAGGAAACCGCGCCAGTCCAGCCCTTCCTTGTCGTGCCAGTGTGTGCTGCGAGAGAGGCTTGTGTTTAACATTCTTTTTGCGCGGTTCCGATCTTGACGTGGAGCCGAGGTGAGTGAAATTGGGAGAGCTCACACAGAGCGGCCGCACACTGCTCGGTAGACGGTACCCCCCCCTGCACATCTAAAGCCATGGCCGACCCCCCCCCCCCCCAGCCCCCCCCCAACAGCAGAGCTCTGCCGCTTGGGGGTGCTGGCCGATCTCTGTACAGACAGCTAGCTGTAAGCAAGTAGCCTTCCAGCGGCGAGAATTTAAAAGATCGGCACCAAAACGCCGTGGGAGGTCTCACGGCGTACCCTCCTACGCGGGCGTGCGGGCGGGCTCGCCGGGCTGGGCGAAGCTCCGAGCGGGTCTTCGAGCTCGCAGCCCGCGACGAGCCAGCATGGCTCGTCGCTCGACGGCAGCCTGCCCAGTACCCTCTCGGCATTCTGTACAGCCTCGCCGAGCTGTCTGGGAAGGCCTACAGAGACAGGGCGGGCTGCGCGCCCCTCCACGTACCACGAAGCACGATCGTGGCCCTCTTTGCCTCTATAGCGGCCGCTCTAACCACTTCGAACGCTTCCACGGCTGTCGGTGTTGGGTTCAGTCTGAGAGATGGTTGGATGGAGCACTTGGAGCACTTGTATCCGTGTGGCAAGAACCTCACCTCCCGGGCCGGGAGCTATGAAGCGCACCCTGCGGGCAGGAAGGCCGGGAAAAAGAAAAGAAAGAAGCGACAACCCAAGGGAGGGATGGGAGGACGGCACGCCGCCGCCACACACAGGGATTTTAAGAAGAGGAGTGTGGTGCGCTATCCGTCGCCCACCCTTGGCGCTTGGGCGTCTGCAGCCTTCTTCCTATCTCTCTTCGCAGTCCCTCGCCGATTCTCGCTGCAACCTTCATGCCAGCTCGCGGTCTTCCCACTCTCGTCGTTCTCTCCCTTGTCGCTTCTTCCTCTGTCGCGCCGCCGCCGTCCAGTTTTTCTTCTTTCTGGCGGCGAATCATCGCCACGCCGCAATGAGAGCGATACGACGAGAGTGCGCGCTTGGGCTACGCCGTGCGACCCCCTCCCCGTTTTAGGCCGGTCTTCAATTTTCTTCTTTCTGGCGGCATGAGCGGCGCCATCCTCCCAACCCGCCTCGCCGACCTGGCTCGGGGCGACCTGGCCTGGCTGCGCGCCTTCCTGTCTGGGCAGGGGACGCGCGGCACGTCGCTCGCGGCCCAGCTCGACGCGCGGCACGACACCGACAGGCAGGACACGCTGCTCACCTGGGCCGCTCGTCACGGGCAGGCCGAGGCGGCGCGGCTGCTGCTCGAGGGCGGCGCGAGCGTGGGGGCGACGACTGGCGGCGGCGCTTCCGCGCTATATATTGCGTGCCAGAACGGCCACCTCGACTGCGTCCGGCTGCTCCTCGAGGCTGGCGCGGCGATGGACCAGGCCAAGGAGAACGGCGCCACGCCGCTGCTCATCGCGAGCCAGAAGGGCCACCTCGAATGCGCCCAGCTGCTCCTCGAGGCTGGCGCGGCGGTGGCTCATGCAGACGCTGAAGGCCGCACGCCGCTGTACGTCGCGAGCCTGCAGGGCCATGGCCAGTGCGTCCGGCTGCTGCGCGACGCTGGCGCGGCGGTCAACCAAGCAGACGCCAGAGGCTTCTCGCCGCTGTACGTCGCGAGCCAGGAGGGCCACCTCGAGATCGCCCGGCTGCTTCTCGAGGCTGGCGCAGCGGTAAGCCAAGCCCGCAACGACGGCACCACGCCGCTGTTCATCGCGAGCCAGAAGGGCCACCTCGAGGTCGCCCGGCTGCTCCTCGAGGCTGGCGCGGCGGTGGCTCATGCAGACGCTGAAGGCCGCACGCCGCTGTACGTCGCGAGCCTGCAGGGCCATGGCCAGTGCGTCCGGCTGCTTCTCGAGGCGAGCGCGGCGGTCAACCAAGCCAAGGACGGCGCCACGCCGCTGTTCGCGGCGTGCCAGGAGGGCCACCTCGAGTGCGCCCAGCTGCTGCGCGACGCTGGCGCTGACATCAACCAAGCCAGGACCGACGGCACCACGCCGCTGTACATCGCGTGCCAGAAGGGCCACCTCGAGATCGTCCAGCTGCTCCTTGAGGCCGGCGCAGCGGTCAACCAAGCCACGCACAATGGTTTCACGCCGCTGTTCGTTGCGTGCGGGCAGGGCCACGTCGAGTGCGCCCAGCTGCTGCGCGACGCTGGCGCTGACATCAACCAGGTCGCGGAGAGCGGCGCCACGCCGCTGTTCGTTGCGTGCCAGAACGGCCACGTCGAGTGCGCCCGGCTGCTCCGCGAGGCTGGCGCGGCGGTCAACCAAGCCAAGGAGAATGGCGCCACGCCGCTGTGCATTGCGTGCTACAAGGGCCACGTCGAGTGCGTCCGGCTGCTGTGCGACGCTGGCGCGGCGGTCAACCAAGCCCGCAACGACGGCGCCACGCCGCTGTTCATCGCGTGTCAGAACGGCCACCTCGAGTGCGCCCAGCTGCTGCGCGACGCTGGCGCGGCGGTCAACCAAGCCCGCAACGACGGCGCCACGCCGCTGTTCATGGCGAGCCAGCAGGGCCAGCTCGAGAGCGCCCAGCTGCTCCTCGAGGCCGGCGCAGCGATCGACCAAGCCGATGAGGACGGCACCACGCCGCTGCTCATCGCGAGCCAGGAGGGCCACCCCGAGTGCGTTCGGCTGCTTCTCGAGGCCGGCGCAGTGATCGACCAGGCCGATGAGCAAGGCACCACAACGCTGTTCGCGGCGTGCCAGGACGGCCACCTCGAGGTCGCCAAGCTCCTCTCCTCCTACGGCGCCTCCCGCGCCGCTACGCCCTTCGGCACGCCCGAGGAGATTGCAACCGAAGAAGGCCACGCCGACCTCGCTGCCTGGCTGGTCGCCAGCCGCGGCTGGACGCCGCTCCAGCATCTCGAGGCGTGCCCGAGACTAGCGGCCGAAGGCGTGAGCGCGCTGTCCTCACGCCCATTGCCCCTCTTCCGCAGGCGCTCACCTTCGAGCGGGCGCGGGCGCTGCTGCGCGGCGGCGCCGACCCGCTCGCCGGCGCGCGTTCTGCCCTCGAGCGGGCGCGCGTCCTCTGCTCGTGGAGCGAGTCGGATCCGACCGCTGCGGCCGTCGGTTCCACGGTCGTGATCCGCTCTCTCGTCTCGCGGCCCTCGATGAACGGCAAGGTCGGCGTCGTCGTCTCCGCGAGCGCTTCGACGCGCCGCTTCGGCGTGCGCGTGGCGGGCGAGGCCAAGGCACTCGCACTGAGGCGCGCACTGCAATGTTCTCTCCCCGACTCGCCGGATCCTCTCTTTGGAAACACCCCACGCCTCTGCCCTTCCCCAGGCCGGCCAACCTGCAGCCAGCGGCCGAGGCGGTGGAGGTGGGCAGGCTCATCCTCAAGGCGGCGGAGTGGTCGCCGCAGTCGCACGAGCTCTTCCCAACAGCGGCTCGCAAGCGGGCGGTCGAGGTGCTGCGGCTGGGCTACCTGATCGCTTGGGACGAGGAGCGCTTCGACAGCCGCGAGGGAGCGGCTCCGGAGCTGGCGGACATCTGGCGCGGCTTTGTGCTGCCAAGGGTGGTGGTGCGGTGACTTCTCGCGGTTCCGCACTATGGTCTAGTTCGTCAAACCGTCCTTCTTTTTCTCTCTGTCTCTCACAACATGTGGTACGGCGCGCGAGTGCGTACCGAGCAGTGTGCGGCCGCGGCCCGCGGCTCGCACACAGGTGAAAATATTCTACAATAACGAATAAGGGCAAAAGTGGAAAAGATGAGAAAAGTATCAAAACACCCGCGCGCCGCGCCCGCGGGCGCCTGTGGTTTTTCTACCGCGGCCTTGCTCTTTTGTACGCTCTAGCTCAAAAAGGAAATCAACAGATGGGCCGGGAAATCGATGTCAACGTGCGCCAGCGCTCCCGCCACCACGTCACCAGTCGTAGGAGGATGAGTCGGAGGTGCGTCGGCCGGCAGAGCGAAGCGCCTCGAGCTCCTCCTCCGTCTCGACCGGCGTGAGGTTGAGCAGCTTGAGCCGCCTCTCCTGGTAGTACTCGAGCCCGTCGAGCGACCCGAGGGCGGCGCGCAGCTCGTTCGCCGCCGCAGAGACCGCGCGCCGCTCGGCGTACCGCACCGCAGCGCAGCGGTAGCCGACCGACTCGCGCGGCGCCTCGGCGAGGGACGCCAGGTCGAGTTGGACGTCGCCGCGCAGCTTGCCGAGCGCACTCGTGACCGCGTCGTGCCCGAGCTGCAGCGCCGCCGCCTCGTTTTGCCTGGAGACGGGCTGCTGCAGGTGCTCGCGCCAGAGGTCGTCTGCGAAGAGGGCCTGTGGGGAGACATGGGGAGATATGGGGAGATGTGGGGCCTCTCGCGCCAGGGGTCAAGAGGGCCTGCGGGGGCGGGGGGCGGGCGCTGTGGTGGTGCCGTGGACATGTCGTGGACATGTCGTGGGCATGTCGTGGGCATGTCGTGGGCATGTCGTGGACATGTCGTCGACATGTCGTGGGCATGTCGTGGGCGTGTCGTGGACATGCCGTGGACATGCCGTGGACATGTCGTGGGCATGTCGTGGGCATGTCGTGGACATGCCGTGGACATGCCGTGGACATGTCGTGGGCATGTCGTGGGCATGTCGTGGACATGCCGTGGACATGCCGTGGACATGCCGTGGACATGCCGTGGACATGTCGTGGGCATGTCGTGGGCGTGTCGTGGGCGTGTCGTGGACATGTCGTGGCCATGTCGTGGCCATGTCGTGGGCATGTCGTGGGCATGTCGTGGACATGCCTAACTGCAGGGGCGGTGTCGGCGCCTCGAGCAAGAATGCGTCCGAAGGCGTGGAGGGCGGGCCGAGGTGGACGAGGCGTAGGTAGGCGAGCAGGTCGGGCGGCAGCGGGTCCGCCTCGGACACGACGAAGCCCTGCTCCACCGCGCTCAGCCCGACCCGCTCGAGCACATCCACCTTGGCAAGAGGGGCCAGAGGGTTAGGGCTAGGGGTTAGGGTTAGGGCTAGGGCTGGGGGTTAGGGCTAGGGCTTGGGAGCCGGGGCTGGGGGTTAGGGCGGCCCGCTCGAGGACAGTGCCGTGCTGACGTGTCGGATGTGGCATGTCGTGCCACTAAGAGCACCCGCGCGCGCCTTCTCGTCGTAGTTTGGGTCGTCGTCGGCGACGCCAAAGCGCAGGCTCGCCTCTGGCGGCACCGGCTCGGCGACGAAGCCGTAGTCAAGGAGCAACTCGCCGCGCGTCGCCTCGGCGTAGCAGAGGGTGAGCGCATCCCCAGCCGACAGGTCCGCCTGCGCAGTCAGCTCGACCGCGCCTCCCTCGCCTCCACGCCCAAACAGGCCAGCCTGCGGGACGACGCGGGACCCAGGCGTGAGTGCCCCGTCTGTGCGGCGTCCCGTGCCCCCGCCCCCCCGAATTCATCTGGACTCTGCCTGCGGGCCGCGCGCTTGAAGGCTGGCGCTCGGCGAGTCGGCATGGTTGCCTAGTCCCATACCTCCAGAGTACCGAATCCAGTGCGTGGGCTCGGCTCCAGCCTCGGCGAGGCGGAATGGTTGCAGAGCTCGACCAGCGGCAGCAGCGCCGGCCTCGCCGGCTCGCCCTGCCGCCCGCCCGCCGGCACGAAGACGCAGCGCGAGAAGGCGAGCCTGGAGGTGTCGGGGAGGTGTCCAGGAAGTGTGTCCTGGAACGGTCTACGACGCAGCGCGAGAGAGCGCCCGAGTGCGCGCAGGAAGGACGCCTCGCTGAAGACCGACTCGGGGAAGACCATCGGGGAGGCCTCGAAGACGTTCTCGCGCAGCCTGGCCGCACACGCGGGCGGGCGGGGTGGGTAGGCGACAGGCGTGCCGCGCCCTTCCGCCCTCCGCCCTCTCCTACCCCCCACTCCCACTGCTCCGCACCACTCGTAGTCGGCCCCATATCTCCCCATATCTCCCCATATCTCCCCATATCTCCCCATATCTCCCCATATCTCCCCATATCTCCCCATATCTCCCCATATCTCCCCATATCTCCCCATATCTCCCCATATCTCCCCATATCCGCACCACTCGTAGTCGGCCTGCGCCGCGAGCCGCCGCTCCACACACGGCGCCGCGGTGGACTGCTCGAGCTCGGCCTGGTCGTCCGAGGGCCAGAGCAGCGGCAGGTCGTGCTGCTCCACCTGCCAGCACGCCGACGAGAGCCACGGCGCGAGGCTGGACTGCTCACCGAGCCGCTCCTCGTTGAGCAGTGCGACGGCGATGAAGGAGTAGTCTGCGAGGTAAGGCTCGAACTCGACGAGGTAGGCGCCGAGGAGCTCAGAACGCAGGGCAGACTCGGCGGTGATGGCCAGCTCCTCCGGCACGCTGAGCAGCCGATCGCCCCGCCGCACCGCCCGAGCCGCAACGAGGCCGACGCCAAGCTGGGCCGCGTCGGCGGCCTGGACGACGGACACGTCGCCGCCCTGCGACGCGACCCACTCTGCGAGCGGCGGCACCGCGGCCACCCGGGTCGCGGTCGCGGGACAGCTGGTGAGCGCGGCGTAGGCGGCGGAAGCGAGGAGCAGGAAAATCCCCAACATATTTGCCCGGGCTCCTCTTCACAGCTTGTTACCGCTCCGCGCTCGACGCCGCCGCCGCTTTCGCGCAGCAACACCTTAAACTTCATGGCCCTCCAAATTCGGGTCGGAGCGTAGCGGAGTGGGCCCCGAGTTTGAAAAATGGTGCACTAACCCCGAGAAACCCTTCGGGTCAGAGGTTACTTTTTGAGACTGGGAACCGAGCAAGTGCGCTCGCCGGTCCAAAGTGGGGTCGCGGGTGGCCATGCGAAGTGGTTTCGCGCACTGCCCGCTGTAGCCCCCCCGAGGCGCCGGAGCGTGACCGAGTGTCGCCCCATGACCCCCGGCGCCGGCCCGAGCGCTGAGACCGAATGTGAAGCCAATGCGCGTGCGCCCCAAGCGCGGCACTCCTCGGCTACGGCATGCTGACACGGATCCCTATCCTCTCAGATTGCTATCGATCGGCGATATTGGATCTCGCACGCGACGTCGACGACTGACAAGGTAAACGCACTTTGTCAATGTGCAGGTCGAGCTACAACCGTTGCGGAGCGGTTCAGCCTCGGAAGCCATACTATGGTGAGGCGGGGATTAGGTGGGAGGGCATGCGCTCGCACACATGAGTCCGGGAGAGCTCCCCGCCGGCGCTTGGTGCCCCAGCCAGCTCCGCCTTGCCGCGGCCCCTACGCAGGCGTCCAGCACCGACATCGTTTGCGAGCGTCGGGTGTTGGCTACTCTCAGCCCCGTCACCCACCGCGCCGTCACCGGCCGCTTCGCGGCGTGCGAAACGCTCGCGTCTCCGCCACCGCTGGCCACCTCCGCGTTTCCCTGCGCCGCCACCAGGGGGACGCTTGCGCCTTGCCCCCTGGCCTGACGCGCGACCCTGCGCAGACGGCGCGCTCCGGCACGGAGCAGCGACCGCCCAGGCAGTCGCTGCTCCGCCCGCGCACCGCTGCCGCCGTCGCCGCCGCCGCTCCGCCCTTTCCATCAGTGTGTCTCGTGTGTGAGAGTGTGCTGTCTGTCACGCTTGTACCTGCGAGCTGCGTCTCTCCTCCGAGGCTCAGGCTGTGTCTCCTCTCATAGATCTGTCAACGAACCGCTGTCGCACATATCTTTGAGTCAAACTCTCTCCTGTCGGTGTCGAGGCTGTCGCGTGTCGTGTGCGCGCGGCGATTGTAACCCGGGAGGCCTGCGCAGCTTCTAACGATGCACAAAAACGGGCCACACAAATGCCGTAAAGGACAGGCGCGGGGACGTGAGGAGACGCGCGGCCGACACCGCCCAGCAGCGGCTCTGCGGAGACACACACAGGAAGGCGCACGATGCGTACAGTGATCGCCTGTCATGCGCCATCACCGACGTCGGGCGGGAGAGGAGCTCCAGCCAACAGTAGTGGCGAGCCAGTTTGCGCTGCACGATGAAATAGTACTCGTGCTGACGCATCCTCGCCCGAGTCATATTCCAAATGCCCTGCGACAGCCCGCGTGCGACGGGAAGAAGAGGTGCGAGGCTGCGAAACTAAGAGCTTGATCGCGCCTCCAACGTCAGCGTCGGGCGCAGTGACGAGCTCGAGCAGCTCTCGTCGAGCAAGCTCCGCCTCCGAGCTCTCGCAGCAGCCATGCGCTTGCGCGCAGCCCAGGATCTCGCTCAGCGCCTCCGTCCTGGGGTTTGAAGCAGGTCCGCCGTAGCGCTCCACGCCTGCGCCGGCGGCGGGCGGTGTAGAAGGCCGCTCGCGATGGCTCCGTCGTGTGCGTCGACCGTCCCACCTCAAGTGGTGACATTACTCGCTGTCGCGTGGCCGCTTGGGAGCGGCGCCGACGCTGCCGTTGAGTCTGTCCGTGGCCGCCGCGTCACTCGGCACGGAAGCCTCCTTGCCGGTGGACATGCCGGGGGGGCGTGAGGGCCTGGAGGGTGACACAGACGCGCAGGGGAGCGCGCGCCGCCGAAGTGGTTTGGCGCACACCTCGACGAGGAGGGTGGCCACCCCTCGGTTCCCAGTCTCAAAAAGTAGCCTCGGTCACTCCTCATCGCAAACCCTGTCAGCAGTCCTCCTCCGGGAATGTACGTAAGAGCCACATACATTGAAAAAGGTGTGCTTGCCCTTGCGTCATATCCTCCCACAACGCCTCCCCGGCGCAGAGGGGCCCCCGGAGGGATGCTCAACCGCCCCACGCCACGCCGCTTGCGTCGGTCCAATTCCACGCTAAAAAAGAAAGAAAACAGACACCCCAAGGGAGGGATGGGAGAACGGCACGCCGCCACCACACAGGGATTTTAATTCCACGCTCGCGGGGGCCAGTTCTTATTCCCTATTTTTTTCACGCACAATGCGCGCCGCCTGAGCAATGCGCGCAAGTATATGGGGCCGGTGGCTGTTCGCTCTTCTCCTCGATGTCCACTCCGCGGCGTCCGCCGTAAACCCCGCGCGTGTCGACCGCGCCGGGCAGACTGATTGCCAGGACGCGAGCATCGGAACACTGGAGGCGGGCGAATGCGCCGACTCCGCCTCCGAGTGCGCCAAGTGGGCAGAGGCGGGCGAGTGCACTGGGAACGCCGGCTACATGAGGGACGCTTGCAGGCTCACATGCGAGCTGTGCGCCGAGGTGCAGGGCAAGGCAGCTTTGCCGCGCCACGGTGACCCGCTCCAGGCTCGAGGTGAAGGCTGGGGTCAGCTCGACGAGGAGAAGGTGCTGGGTTGGCTCGGGTGCAGGCGGCGCTCGGGGGGCTACGGCCGGTGCCAGCGACGTCATACTTCCCGCAGCCGCCACCATGACGTGCAATCCACCTCGTGTGAGTCGGGAGACGCTTGGAGCGCCGCACCGAGAATAACCCCTACCACAGCGCGAGAAGGCCGAGCTAAGCGCGAAAGGTCGAAATATAACCGACGGTTTTAAATAAATAAAGGTTTTAAATAAATAAATAAATAAAACGGACACCTCTACTAGGAGATGGGTAAAAAGGAACAGGTCCCCGCGACGGAATTTAACGAGAACGAATATCGAAAACACCTATCACAAGCCAAACGGACATCGCTCAAGACCGCCGGGCCCCGCAAGCCACGTCACTTCCTTGAGTCCTAGACCTCTCTACACTCCTATACACGTAGAGCTGTGGGCACTGTGGCACATCCTGCGCACCAGTGTGTACGTCTCTCCTACGTCAGCTGTACGAATACGTTTACGCCCCAGCATTGTAGTGTTTACGCCACTTTTTTTCGCTCCAGTCCTGCGGATCTTCTAGTAGACCGGAGGGCTACGACGCCTTCACACTCCAAGCGGCTGTGTTTACGCGCGGTCAGTGAGGAAAACAGACAGACGCGTGGCGGCGGCGCGGGACACACGCGGCCGCACGGCCCCTCCCTGCGTCCCCCCCTGCAGCGGCCGCAGTATGCCCCGTCACGGCGTCCGGCGCGTCAGCACTCGCGCGCCCGCAGCATCTCCAGCTGCGCCGCCAGCAGCTGAGCAGCCGCCTCCCTTGCGCTCGCCTCCTCCCTGCTGGCCTGCTCCGCCATCACCGCGCGGAGCTCGTCGCCGGACATGCGCAGCAGCTCGTCGCCGCCCACGCCGCGCGAGAAGAAGGCGGCGGCGAAGCGGCCGAGCCCGGTCGCCTCGAGCAGCTTACGCACCTCCTTTGCCGACCAGCCCTCGATGCACGGGTGCGCCTTTCTGTGCCTGGCGCGCTCCGCCGTCGAGAGGAGGCCGCTCCGCAGCTTGAGCTCGCCCAGCTCCATCTCGATCACCATCCTGTGCTCAGCCGACGGGATGAGGAGCTCGTGCTCCAGCTCGTGCAGGGTGAGCCCGAGCAGCCGTCGACCGTCTACCAAGCCCTCTCCAAACGCACCTCGGTACTCGTGGAGCCCCACCCGTGCAACCCACCCGCCGACGTCTGCCGTGGTCCACTCACGAGGGTCCGTCTCGGCTGCGCTGGCCGAGGAGGTGAGCAGCAGGAGGCGCACACACGCACGCATGGAGAGCTCTCTTCGTTCCAGCAACGAGGGAAGAAACGAGGTTTAGGCCCGGTGTTTGTGCCGCGTCCCGTGCCCCCGAGTTCACACAAAAACACAACCCCGGCCCCAAGATTGGCCGCTTTGTGTATCTCAAGACCTCGAGAGAAGGCCGCCCTGAGAGTTGGCTTTCTTTTCGGCGGGCAAGCAGTTCACGATCAAAAAAGAATTCCCGCCATGGTTTTTCTTATTTTCCACGCACGACACTGGTGTACCAGTGCGTGCAAGCTTTAAATTCTTTTTCCACGCGGGCCATGGCGGGCGGCGACATCCACGCCGCGGCGCTCCAGGGCGACATCGCCGCGGTCCGCGAGCTGATCGACAAACGGGACGACCGGATGGAGGCGGGCGGCTACACTCCGCTCGGGCTCGCGGTCTCTGCCGGGCACGTGGAGATCGTGCGGCTGCTGCTGCGCGAGACGGTGACCGTCGATGCGGCTGACGACGAGGGCGTCACTGCGCTGATGCACGCGGCGATGCACGGGTACGGCGCGCTCGTCGATCTCCTGCTCCTGCACGGCGCGTCGCCGCTCAAGACCCGGAACGACGGCGAGAGCGCGCACACGCTCGCTGCGCTGTATGGCCGTCCCGCCGCGCTGGGAGCCTTCTTCCGCGCGAACGGCGCGCTCGTCGAGACTCCGAACGCGCTCGGGCGCACGCCGCTGCACAACGCCGTCACTCTCCGCCACCTGATCACCATCAAGTACCTGATCGGCGCGGACCACCCTACCTCCAGAGTATCGAATCCAGTGTGGGTTCAGTCCCGTGGGTGGTGCGGTATTAGGCGCGTGGCGGGCCGACCCCACCGTCGAGGACAGAGAAGGCAACTCTCCGCTGCACCTCTGCCGAGGGCCCGTCGAGGCGCTCGTCCTGCTGCTGCACGGAAGCGCCTCCCGCCCCTCCCTCGCCGCATCCAACCTGGCCGGCCGCACCCCACCCGAGGAGGCTGCGGCGGCGGTGCGCGCTCCACCGCACCACCCACGGAGAGCCAAACCCTCACTGGGTTCGACACTCGGGAGGTATGGTACTAGGGCGCGTCGAGCGGGGTGGTGGCGGCGATGCGGGAGGCGAGCAAGGGGGAGGGGTCGGGCGCCTGGCTCAACAGCCAGAACGTCGACACACGCCTCCTCTCCTTCCTCGCCGGCTCCCCGCTCCGCACGCCTCCGAAGCAGCTGCCCGACGGCCCCTGGTTCGGGCAGGTCCGGCCCGCGCTCGTCGTGCAGAGCCTCGTGCCCTACTGCTGGGGCCTTACCCTCGCCTACTCGCTGCCAGCGGGCGCCGCCCTCCTCGTCGGCGCGCCCCCCTACCCTACCTCCAGAGTGGTCGAATCCGGTGTGGGTTCAGCTCCGTGGGTGGTGCGGTAGGCGCGCCCCTCCTCGCGGGCTGGTGGAGCCGACTCGTGCGGAACGACCGCTGCCGCGCCGGGGCAGAAGGGCTGCTGCAGGGCTGCCCCGAGCTGCGCCACTTGCTCGGCCTCTCCGACTCCTCCTCCTCGCCGAACGGGGGGAGGCTCGACCTGTGCGCGCTCTACCGCACCACCCACGGAGCTGAACCCTCGCCGGGTTCGAGACTTTGGGAGGTATGGGACTAGGCGCGCCCCCCTCGGCCTCGTCCTTGCCATCCTCTTCCTGATGGCGACGCAGGCGCTCCTCGTGACCCCGCTGCTGCTGCCGCAGAGGCCGCTGCTCTCCCTCGCATCCTATGCCGCACAGGCCCTCCTCGTCTACAACTACGTCCACGCCGTCTCGACGCCGCCCGCGATGCTGCCCGGCGCCAAGCCGGACTACCCTACCTCCAGAGTCTCGAATCCAGTGTGGGTTCAGTCCCGTGGGTGGTGCGGGACTAGGCGCCGATGCGGAGTCCGCCGCCGCGTACTGGTCTGCCCTCGAGGTGCCTCTCCCCTACCCCCCACGGTACCTGAACCCACCCTCCCCTACCTCACGGTACCCAAACCCACCCTCCCCTACCTCGGTATCCGAACCCACCCTCCCCTACCTCACGGTACCCGAACCCACGCCTCGTACTGGCCTCTCCCCTCGAGGTTAATTCGCGGCTAATTGACTGCGAATCAGCTGCTAGTTCACTGTGTGCTACCTCACTTCTCTCGTTCGAGGCTAATTGGCCGCTAACTCGCTGCGAATCAGCTGCTAATCCAAGTGCTGGTTCTCTCTCTGCCCTCTCCAGGCCCTCCCCCCGAACGCGGGCTTCCCCACCGACTTTTGCGAGCGGTCCGAGCGGAGGAAGGTCGCGCGCGCGCGCTACTCCCCGATGTGCGCAGGGATGGTGCACGTGATGGACCATGACTGCGTCTGGAAATAAGAATACATAATAATCATAGGTGCGGCGGGATGGTGCACGTGATGGACCATGACTGTGACCAGCGTCTCTTCACACCTCTAGCTGTAAACAGGTGCGGCGGGATGGTGCACGTGATGGACCATGACTGCGTCTGGATCGGGACGGTCGTCTGCGAGTCGAACCACCCCGCTTTCGTCGGCTTCCTCCTCGCCGCGGTGGCCGCAATCTGCCTCCACCTCGCCTGCCTCGCTACGGTGCAGCCGCGCGTGGTGAGGCTGTTGCGCAATACTCGTACTGATAGGAAGTCAGAATCCGAGCAGGTGCAGCCGGACGTGATTCTGTTGTTGCGCAGCTTGCTCTCGGGGACGCCAGCCACGTTCGAGGCGAGGAGAGGGAGGAGGAGGAGAGGGGAGGAGGAGGAGAGGAGGGAGGAGGAGGAGAGGGAGGGAGGGGGAGAGGGAGGGAGGAGGAGAGGGAGGAGGGGGAGAGGGAGGAGGAGAGGGGTCGCGAGAAGAGGAGGGAGGAGGGGGAGAGGGAGGAGGAGGAGAGGGGTCGAGAAGAGAAGGGAGGACAGCCATCCTCATCCCAGCCCCCCCCCCCCTTCCCCCCCCCTCGAGGCGCGCGTGCTCTGCCTCTCTGCCGTCCTCTCCTCCCTCCTCCTCCTTGGGGTGCTGCCGCTTCTCATCTTCCACCTCTGGGGCGAGAGATATAGCCGAGATATAGCCGAGATATAGCCGAGAGATCGCACCTCTGGGGCGAACCCTTCAAGAGAGAGAGAGAGAGAGAGAGTTAGCCATACCAAACAACTTTAACACTCACACGCGTCATTTGGGGCCTGGAGCCCTGTTCACGCGCGAGAGAGACGTGCAGCCCATGCAGGGTTCCCAGGTGAGAGCGAATGGCGCGGTTCACCCCTCGCACAACAGATAGCCTTCAGCGTGACGGCGAGGGAGTCGATGCCCCAGGAACCCTTTGGGAGCCTTCCTGGAATGTTCCTGTAGGCGCCCCCTTCAACGTCACGACGATGGAGTCGATGCGCTTCAAGTGAGACACCCCCCCCCCCCCCCCTTCCCCCCCCCTCGAGGCGCGCGTGCTCTGCCTCTCTGCCGTCCTCTCCTCCCTCCTCCTCCTCGGGGTGCTGCCGCTTCTCATCTTCCACCTCTGGGGCGCGCCCTTCAAGAGAGAGAGAGCTTCTCATAGCTTCTCATAGCTTCTCATCTTCCACCAGAGAGAGAGCTTCTCATAGCTTCTCATAGCTTCTCATCTTCCACCTCTGGGGCGCACCCTTCAAGAGAGAGAGAGAGAGAGTGGTAGCCATACCAAACAACTCGAACACTCACACGTCATTTGGGGCCTGGAGCCCTGTTCACGCGCGCGCGAGACGTGTAGACAGGGTTGCCAGGTGAGAGCGAATGGCGCGGTTCACGCCTCGCACAACAGATAGCTTCAGCGTGACGGCGAGGGAGTCGATGCGCCAGGAGCCTTCTTGGAGCCTTCCTGGAATGTTCCTGTAGGCGCCGCCTTCAACGTCACGACGATGGAGTCGATGCGCTTCAAGTGAGACCCCCCCCCCCCCTCCCACTGCATGTGCGTGTGCGTGTGCGTGTGCGTGTGCGTGTGCGTGTGCATGTGCATGTGCATGTGCATGTGCGTGTGCGTGTCTCTCAGCTCTCTCTCGGCTCTCTCAGCTCTCTCTCGGCTCTCTCGGCGCCTTAAGCGACGCAAACCACTCCCACACCCCGCCCCGTCCCACTCCCTCACCCCCTGACTCAGTCAATGCCTTAGCGCAAGAGCACTTTGTGCGTAGCTCCGCGAGCAACTGTAGAGCACTGTCGGCCACCGACTGTGATGAGTGGGTGAGCCTGTGAGTGAGCCCCCATAGCACAGAGTGGTGTAGGCCATTCTCGGTCGAGTAAGAACTGATGTGGAAGCGAGCAGCCTGCTGCTACGAGCTGCCTCATTCAAC